AGAATTTAGCCTTAATGCCTTCCATTAAATAGTCAGGAAGAGTAGTTAAAAGCAGCATTACTCTTGCAGGAGTGAGAAGAAAAAGCACTAGCTTCCAAGAGCTCCCAGCTGTAAACCCAACAACACATGGAAATCCAAGTACAGTATCACATTTCTAGCGGTATATGTGAGCCCCACACATTAACAACACATATAATGCAGGAATCATTGTATCTATGCATGGCAAACTAGTGAGCTAAATAGTGGCAACAAAAAGTACATATAAAACATTTATTCTTTTCTTCCCCGTTTTCCCTATTCATTAGGAATTGCTTCCTTGTGTTCAGAAGGGTGAAGTGTTGGTTTTGGACCAAATTTTTCTCCTGTCATGGGTGAGGAGAGAACTTTGGGTGATGTTGAAACAGATCCTATGCCATCCCCTGTCCATGGTCAGTGTACAAGACGTGTCTGCAGGGGGAAAGGAATGTGACCAGTTTGTCTCTGTGCCCCAGCCAGCTCCAGTCCAGTGAGGCAATTAGCAGCCAGGACAACTTAGAGAGACCTCCAGTCTGCTCTACCCTGTGCCAGAAGCCTAGCTCACCAGAGAGCACCAGAATTGAGGATGCAATGGTGGTTTAAACCCATCTTTACTCTGCTGGACAGCTGCAGTCGGCGTTCTTTAGTGGCAGCACAGGATCGGGCCCATTGTACATGTTTAACAGAATAACCAGTTATTACAACACTGGCCCTGTTCATCCGCTGCCCTGGAAGACCTGCTAATTCACACTGAGCGGGCACGCGTGTTGGCCTCGCTAGTCCTGCTTCTAATGAGGAACAAGGGAAGTCGATGGGCACGTGTGCTCTCGTCGACCTCCCACGGTATGGATGTGCCAAAACATGATTTAAAATACTTCAATGCCAGCTATGTAATGAACACAGCTGGAGTTGTGTATCTTAAGTTGATTTTCCCTTTAGTGTAAACCAGACCCAATTGTCATACTGGGTAAGAACCAAGCTCCATTCAGCCCTGTGTCCTCCATCTAAGTGAGCATGGGAAATTTAACTTAATCATTTCCTGTCTCTAGTGGGGGTAAATCCATAACCTTAACACTGCATTATTTAAAGGCAAGAGACCATAGGTCTTGCATAGCCAAAGCATTTATTTAAATAACTGGGCAGGGAAGTGAATTAAAACAGAGTCAGGAGCTCAGGATTTGGCCTGTAGGTTTGGAGTAGTTGTTCTTTTTGAATTTACTGTGTGGAGCTGTGTCAATTTCCCCCAGCAGCACACCGGTCCCACTTGTATTTTAAGATTTGTTAAACCGCAGTGCTCCTGGCCGGTTTTGATAAGCATTCATAGTTGCACAGACCCAAATCCCAGAGATTAATAATTTCACAAAGAGCCACTGTTATCAACATTCACACCCAGCACACGCAGCTCGAAAACAGGGCCTTTCCCTATCTTGCCATTTCATGGAGCAGATCCCACTAGCTCAGCCACTACAGCAAACTGTTCCGAGAAAGCACTGCTGAATTGTTCCCACAGTAAGCGATGCAGCGAAATCATTCACATTATAACTGGCATCCAGCTGAGCGGCTAGCAAAATTAAGAGAGCTGTCAGAGCAGTAATTCTAACATATCTGGTCCCAACCTCCAAGATAGGAAATCAATGGATATGAAATCACTTTTCCCCAGAATGGGGAGAACTGGGTCCTCAGAAAGGAATATTTTAATATTCTGTGTTGCTCACTCCAGCAAGTCTGATCACTGTAAATAAAACAGTGACGAGGTTATAATTCTATTTATTATAAATGACACGGTATTTCTAACCCCTTATCGGCAGTGGCCATCCTGCTAGAGAGTTTTATCACATGTAATGTTGTCGGGTGACAGGTTTGTATCAAAGCAAGGGCTCACTCCAGTCTTAGGCTACATTCAAAGCTCTATTGCAGACATATTCTAGTCAGTGAATGTGATACTGATCATACCCCCCAATGCCCTCTTTCTCTCTCAGCACTGCACAACTTACCTTTGGAAGTGGCATAATCTCTCTCTCTCACAGGAACACACATAGTTGCTTTCTGGATTTGGGTGGCATCCTTCCCAGATTATCAGGAAGACTTGGGGAAAAAAGATCTTTAGGGTGGGGACCCTGGTAAGTATTAGTGTCTCCCAATTCAAAGGCTCTTCAGGGGGCAGGAAGTGCATGCTTGTTCCCCCAAGGCAGTGGGACCAGAGGGCACTCTGCCAGTGCTGTTGCAATGAGTGAGGTGCAGACATAATTCAGAATCCTTGGCATGGTATCTTGGGAACCCCTGGGGATTCTCTTGTCACCACACATTGGAGATTATTGGGTGTATCAGCTACTGCACTGTGAGATAATCCCTATTGGCTGCCCAGCTATTGCACTGCACCAGAAGCCTGCTCCAAAGCACACTGACGTCAATGGCAGTGAAATGGAAATGCAATGGACACTGGATCCAACTCTAAGGAAGGTGAGTCTACACACAGTGGCCCTTGCCTGTCTGCCTTTCCTGGAGACACTTTTAGAGTGTAGCAGAGCAACCACCTCTAAAGAGGACCAGAGAAGATGAAGGAAGGCCACCAGTCCCTCTTTCCTAAGAGATTATACAGCTCAGTGACGGAAGTGTTCCTGGGGCCTTGGTGGGTGGGGTGCAGCTGTGGGGAGTGTGGAAGCAGGCTCTTTGCTGGCCAGGCCTCTCGTGCATATTGCCATCCAAGCAAAAGGTCAACTTCACCTTGATGAAAAACCCTATGTACCTTAAAGATCAGTGAAGAACAGGAACAAAAACCAGACCTGAAAAGTTCATGTAAAGTTCGTGCTGGTTGTGCTGACTGTGCCATGCCCAATAAGGCAGGAAAGGAAAAACAGGAAACCATCTCACCCCCTTACTCCTGTCACTTAACAGACAGGGTCTGCTAGCCTATCACAAAAAGCACGCAAAAGCTCTCTCTATAAAACAGCTACCCCTCCTATATCAAATTGAGAATTCCCGAATAAACATTGGATGGCAGAATACGCGAGCTAGGTCCAAGGACTGATCACCCGAGGGCCATCTCCCGCTCAACGAACCCAAACGAGTTCCTGTAGAGCGTAACGTATACTAACTATGACGTTGTTGCTGTTGTACTTTGTGTTTTTTTAAGTGTTAACTATGATGTTGTTGCTGTTGTACTTTGTGTTTTTTTTAAGTGTGAGTATTGCTATCTAAACTTAGTTAAAAGTTTTGTTAAGTAGTAGTGTTAAGAGTTTTAGATAAATAATTAGACTTATGAGTAAGATTGATGTAAATGTAACTATTGATAATCCCTGGTCCCTTATTGACAACTATTGGGACTTAGAAAAAGCTCAGGGAATTTTCATTTATTGTATTGCACTTTGCTTATTGCCCCTACTAATAGTTATTTGGCGACCACGCATGCAAGAGACTAATAAAGAAAAGCTATGATCGGAAGCATTCTAATAAAAGTTTAAAAGATATTTAGTAATAGTTTGACTGTTTCTGCACCTCCCTGGGACTAGCCACATTTCCGAACCTTTTACTTTAAACCACAGGGAGGGATTTTCTATAAAATCCAACCCCCTAAGTGAACCTACAGTGGCTATGCAATGCATCCCCTCTGAACTGGGGCTTGTCAAGCCTATTTCATGTGCACCAGACTTTCTAGGGGATACTTTCACTGCTTGCTGTGGCTTTCCACAGGAGGATCAGCAGGAGGAACCACTAGTCCCAGGAAGTGGCAGTCCGATAGCCCCCCTACTCTGTTCCAAAATGCAGTTACAGCTCAGATCAGAAAGCATTAGTTTTAAATCACCAACAGGAATTCCCACAAGGGTAACCCACTGTCAGCTTAAGTGTCTGGCTAACTAACCGTAATCATTTCTGACACTGGCAGGAGTCAGTTTCTTACTTTAGTAGTGGCCTGATGTCAGGAGAAGATCGCTAATCTTGTGTGACTAAACTAGAGACGGTGCTGAACTGGAAGGGTGGACCAGAACCCCTCATTAGCTTTGGGAAAATTTGACTCCAGCTCAGCATCTAGACATTGCAGTGTGACTCTCCCTCTAAGGGTACGTCTAAATTACATGGCTCCGTCGACGGAGCCATGTAGATTTGTTTGGCAAAGTCAAATGAAGCCGCGATTTAACTGATCGCGGCTTCATTTAAATTTACATGGCTGCCGCGCTGAGCCGACAAACAGCTGATCAGCTGTTTGTTGGCTCACGCGCTAGTCTGGACGTTCCCCCTGTCGACATCAAAGCCCTTTGTCGGCAGCCCCGGTAAACCTCATTCCACGAGGAATAACA